CCTGAGTTACAGCGTCTTGAAAAATATAAGTGCTGACGTCAGCATTGTTTTCGAACGCCTTCAGAAACTGTGTTATACACCAAATTTAGTTAACAATTCTTGGATAAGGTTAAGACGGAACTTCATATCTGATATAAACAAGAATTTAGACATTTTGGCTCAAAAACTTGCCTTTATTTTACCATTGGCCATTTTATACCACCAACTGCATTATCCAAAAATCAAATGCTAAAATAAAGGCGAGTTTGAGCCAAAATGTTTAGATTCTTGTTTATATCAGGTACGAAGTTCCGTTTTAACCTTAACCAAGAAATTTTAACTAAATTTTGTGTATAACACAGTTTCTGAAGGCATGCGAAAATAATGCTGACGTCAGCACTTTTATTGTCCAAGACGCTGCAATTCAGGAGGAATTAATCCTATTGATTCAAAAATCACTCGTACTGATGATATAAACAACATATAAAACGTCCAATATCGTAACTAAAATTCCTGGAAATTGGACGCAAACCTGCATATACATACCCATTGGGTATGAACAAACGTTAGTCAAATTTGTCTATTCATCACAAGGTCGACGGCAAACAGTATTAAAATGTTTTAACTCTACGTATTCTTCGTTAAATATGCAAATTACTTATTTGTACGTCCTTAATTTAAATCTGGTGATAAGCGTATACAAGCCATACTGAAAACAAAATGATTTTCGAGATGCTATATACTGTAAAATAAGATAAAATTATTAATGCTAATTACGTTCCGTTATTGAAATTGTAAACTATAAGTGGAAAAGATATGTAGCTATAAAATTACTAAAAACATAGACCTTTGTAACGTTTATAGGTCTCGCTTTTGATTGCCACAGGAAATGCAGGGCACTTCATGACAGAGACACGGGATGAAGACGAAGGCTCGTCCCCAGATCCCTACAATCTTGGGAATCGTGGCAGATTGGAATTTTTTCTGTTCACCACATCGGTTGGTATGATTATTGTCATGGTTATGTTTTTGCTGTTTATTACTGGATTACAGGAGAAAATCAATGGAACTCAAACAGTAAGTTTAAATGTACAGACCGAAACTAAACAATATTTCTCATGCCAAAAAATCCTGTAGGATTCCGGTAGGAATGCCATATTTGATTTTGGTCCAAATTTCTATTGGATCCAATAGAAAATTGTATGAGATGCTATGAAGAATATAAAGTTCCTAGAGAAATTTTTCGTTGAATTACTTAAATAATTTACATGCTTTAAACTATCCCACATCCTTTTATCATTTTTCTCTCCCAAAATTAATCTCTCGGGATTCTTCAAAATTCATTCACCCCAATGCAGTACAAGAGATAGAGCAATGAAGCCTGAATGACTTCGAATCGGGTGGGAGGGTATTCTTCCCATCAAAAGTTTGAAAACTATAGTATAGGCTCCGTGTAGCAAATTCTTTCCCTGATGGAGGCTCTAATACAGTATAACTTTGACAGTAATATATATTTGCAAACCTTTTGGATTAAAATCTTTATGCAAGTACGAGAGCATTCTTCCCCATTAAAAGTATAAAACCAAGCTCTCTGTAGGAAATACTTTTAGTTTAGGAGTTTAGTTGACATTAATATATTTGCAAACCTTATGAGAATGAGGTCTCAGGTCAAATGTCCATTTTTCAATTTTAGGTAGCCCAGATTTGGTGGGCAATCAAGTGGGATTTAAAAATGAGCTAACAATTAGTTCTATCTCCTGAAAATTACATATATTTTAATTATTTCATTTTAGATGGCTGAAGTTTATGTAATATGGACCTTGATGCTTCTTATTTCTACAGGCCTGCTTGCAAAAACTTTGACTGATCTTCATTCAAAAGATACTGGCTTTGACAGGATTTCTAGATATGATTTCTATGAAGAAATAAACGTGAATTACCAGTGCAGTCAGCTGATGACGGCTGTGGTAAGCATCCTCACATTAATGGTGTTAATCCGGTTTAAAGGTGAAAGGGAGAAGTTTATATAAATGGTTAAAGCCTAAAAGGTCCATGAAGTTTTGGATCCTTTTATTTCGAGTTTTTGATTTTTGACCAATTGTCGGATATCACTCTCATCAGTCTCATGTCATAATCGACAAAATATACCTTGGAGATAAACATAAAACAGCACTGAATTAAAACTGCATAAAAAACGATCCACTGATCCATTTGGTCTAGAGTCGACTGCTCCCAGTTCCATTTAGGGTTACCTTTTAATCAGCAATACCACAAAAGATTTCAGAGAAAACATTTAAACGTTTCTGCTTTCTTATGCATGACTATAGCTTAGGTATTAGAAAATTGAATAACAAAATTTGTTAGCGTTAATTGTAATGGGTGTACAGGTGATTTTTATTCTCAAGAGTAACGAGGAAAAAAAATTTTTGAAGGACATGAAACAAATATAGTTTTCAATCGAAATTAAATTGTAATAACTGACGTGTTCATATCATGTATATTTAATTGCTTTCTCCACACTACGGACAAAATTAATCCTCACAACCAAACGTTCTCAACATAAATGTCCTATATATACTATACATTCATGAAAATTCTTGCTCTAAATATTTTGTTGTACGTGCACGATCATGCACAACGAAAATATTGATTAACTGTTTTTCTCTAACATTTTCATAAAAAAAAATCTAAAGAACGCTAGAAGAACAGAAAATCTACCGCAGGCAAAAACAATTTATAACTTTAATTTTTTGTTTAGGTTTCCGGTTTTGTTTCAACGTTTTTCTTCCTTCTGCATTCTGGTATCTATATATTCACGTTCGTGACCTCTCAGACAGTGCAACCGAAACAGGCGAAAACCGTTGTATTCAATAAACGTTTCCCAAGCTAGCGCGAAACCTCGTTCCAACCTTGTTCCAACCTCGTCCTCTTCGTCTTAATGGTAAAATTATGTAGATTACAATAAATTTTCGTCATCAGTATGTACAGTTTTTGTACATTGGTCAGCGGACGAAATTATGAGGTATAACGCTTTTTTTCATAAATTAGAATTCTTAATGACGTCAGCACGGACATGCAACATGTTGTACTGTACAAGACGCAAAATCGCGCGAGATTCCTTGTGCAACTCACCACGTCAGGTCATTTACTGGAAATTCTTTATTTTTAATTTATTCCCCGGAAACGAATGATTACGCTGGTTTGTAAGTTGTTCGTATAGCATTAAGTTTTGTAAGTCTTGTATAAGGATTTTGTGAGGATTACTATCCAGTCACCTTAAGCACACTAATGGAGTCCTTAAGATTGACGGTTGACAGCACACTGCTAACAGCAAAAGGCAAACTTCAAATCGTATTTTGATATCTACTGCTTGTTAGCCTTATTGACGTTAAGGGATTTTGTGCATCAAAATTGAAACCAACAAGACGCTCTATGGAGTGTTAACTCGCTGGGGCTATACAACGGACGCACATTACTGTTAAGATCTAAAGGCTGATTTCCACTGTTGCGTTTTTTTACGCACGTACACGCACGTAAAATTTTGAATCCTTTTATTTTTAAATATTTTACAAATAAGTTAACAAATGCATACTAAAACTTGCGGAACAGCAAATTCTGTTGCTTTATTTATTTGGTTATTTTATAAGTAACATTCAAGGGAAAATTTTGCCAGGTAAATTTTTCAATGGTTGTGGCATTAAGTTTATGTTGTGATCAAACTTAATTTACCCTATTATGCTTCTCGTCCTTATTCTGCTTCAATTCCGCTTTTTATCCTCATTTACGGAATCCGCTTCCAGAATCCGCGTTTTATCCTCATTTGCGGAATCCGCTTCCGCAATCCGCAATCCGGTTCCGCGTTTTATCCCAACCCAATAAAACTTCCGGCGTTTACTGTATGCCCACAAGTAAAGTTATATTTTATAGTATGCTACATATTTCTTCTGTCGGCCGCCATGGCCAGTTTAAAACGTTCAAAATAAAATATTTGGGGGCTTTTAGGCTCAAAATACTATCAAAATGAAGAGAGAAGTGAGACGAATCCACTGGTATACGGCCGAAAAAGAGAAAACCAATGATGCCAAAGTTATCAAGGATCAAACGTATTGCATTTTTTATAATTTGAGCGATTTGTCAACAAATAATACAATTTCGCTTGGCTTTCAAATACAAAGGCCATAAATCGCTAGAATACTGTTGTCAGTTGTTTAGTAATACAGTTGACATCCGTAGGTTCTCATTCCCAAGTACAATTTCTTACGCTTAATCGAACGGTGGTATTTTTATCCTTATTGCGCCATTAGGCAATACAAATACAAGGTCGGACCATGGATTGTAAAATAACAATTATTTTACAATCCATGGTCGGACAAACGGCGAGTGATTTGTCAATAATAGTGGATTGCTAATAATATTTGTCAATAATAGTGGATTGTCAATAATAACTGGATTGTCATGGTTCAGTAGCTACCTGTCAAATCGATATCAAGTGGTATGCATAAATTCAACCTTATCAGATCCTTTGCTAGTTACAAGCGGAGTCCCACAGGGCAGTATCCTTGGCCCAATCTTGTTCAATATTTATGTCAATGATCTACCACTTGTTCCGAGGTCCTGCACACCCGACTGCTATGTAGACGACAGTAAACTCTATATCTCATTTCCAATACACGATAGTACCAAG